GGCGGAAGTTGCCAGATTCAACAACTATGAGTCTAGCTCAGAAGATGGCAAGCCTCGCGTCTGGTCATGGTCCAAATCATGGCAGTGGCCACCACCAGCAGATGCATCGCAGACCGACGACCCCGCATACTCTCCCCGCGCACTCGAGCAGAACCGCGAAATGAACAAGGCCGGTGTACCTTGGCAGGCAGCCTACGAGGACCTACTAGCAGAGCAGGGCGAAGTCTCACATTGTATGATGAGGAGCGACCGACCGGCTTGGGGACCAAGGAAGATACCAATTACGCAACAACAGTTAGAGGAGACAATGCAGGGGAAGCTTGAGCCCGAATGTCCTGGCGCCCTGGAGTCTGACATGTCCGACAAGTACTGGACTCATGGCAAGATCCCGATCACACAACGCCAACTGGAGGAGCACATGGACCGCAACGATGCGCCCAGCTGCCCTCACCTTGGGACACACGACGAGCCAAGCTACGAGTACAGCCACGATCATGAAGACCAACATGACGATCCGCCTACGCCGAAACAAGACCGGTTCCCTTACGCCGACACAGTCAGACGTGACACATACAACACTGTTCTAGACGCGGCACACGAGAGAGATGAGGACTCGGAGACTGAGTTGGATGCGTACGAACGTATGGAGGCTGTGTCACAACCCTCACATTCAGTCCCCGGACCTATCTCGGTAACTTCCGCGGTCGCTGAGCGGATGAAGGAGGACAAACCTTCGATTCTCTCCACACTTACTACGACCGAGCGGACCGTCGCTTCTGACGGCTCCATTACGACCAAAGTCGTGCTCAAGAAGCGCTTCGCTGATGGTCGAGAAGAGAGCTCGGAGACGGTGCATACCCAGCGCGGCCAAGAGACCGAAACCCAGCAGCGCGATCCTTGGAGGGCATTCCACGACATCCAGCCAAGACCAGCCGAGCCAGAGACCCAAGAGCGGAAGAAGAGGAGTGGGTGGTTTTGGTCTAGCTAAACCTGCCATATGGGTGAAGGATGTTTGCACGTGGTATATGAGTGTGGATCTATTTATGGGTGCTTGGCGAAATCTTGGGCTGGGCATGACTGTTGACTCTGCGAACACCGCTCGTTCTTGGTGATTTATGTTTTCATGTTGTTTATATTTGCAATTTCTGAATACTTAGCTGCGCATACCCCTCTCAATCAGACACAATCCTCGCTTTTCGCGCTCATAGGAGCGACTCATACCACGTCCATGCCGAGGAAATATCGATGTAGTATATACTTGACACCCAAAGGAAAGGGTGATGACGCCTCTTTACTCATGATACTCTCTGGTCACAGCTCACTTCTTACCACACATAGCAGGATAGTGTTTGCAAGTATCAAGTAAGGCACATCGTAAATTCGTTAACAAAGCTAAAGCACATGCACCACCATCAAGGCGAGATCGGTACCGTCACCGGATCAGACACCATCCTACTATGCTGCGACACCGCAACACTCTTACTCCTCTCCTTCACACTCATTGTCTCCGGGACGATAGTGGGCGCCCTCGAGACTCCATCATCCCAGCCATTACCACTCTGCTCCGTCTTCTCGAGACCCCACACGCCATCTGCAATGGCCCGCGCCTTGTACTTGATGATAAGGCCCACGGTCACGGGTCCGAAGATGGTGTTGAGCACAATGGCCCACACGGCGGTGATGAAAGCTTCCTTGGACAGGTACGGTGTGTTATTGAGCCCGATCTGTACGACTAGTAAACCGATCTCACCACGCGCTACCATCGCGGAACCGAGGAGCATCGCCGGCCAGAAAGTGGTGGTAAAGCACTCGCGGATCGACATACCTGGCGGTCTGCGGAAGATGGTAGCGAAAGGTATGACAAGGCCGACGATGACTTTAGAGACAAGCATGAGCAACGTGTACACAAAGCCCTTCCAGAAAGCCTCTGCAGTCCAAATATCGATGAAGGGGATAGCAAAGCCAATCGATGCGAAGAAGAGAGGTTGCAAGAGGTACTTTACAGCGTCGAGGAAGTACTTCTCAAACGTGTGCATGAATGTAGGGCAGATAGATGGCTCCCCAGCATCGTCGTACTCGGTGGCTTCGGCAATAGATCGTGCTTCCGCTTCCTCTGCATCCTCTCGCGAAGGTGGGTGGAACGGTCCTGTAGGGTGCTTGGAAGGGAGGTAGGTGAGGAATGCCCCCGCCATGAAGGACCCGTAGAGGACGGAGGTGCCGCCGAAGCCTGTGATGCTGAGGAAAGCACATAGAACGAAGATCATGATGATGACGTTTACGACGTGGCGTTTGCGTGTCTTTGGGAGGCGTGGCTCGATGAACTTTCGGTATAGAGGTGCGATTGCCCATTTGTTTAGGACGGGAGTGAGGATGGCGAGGAGGCCGGATACTAGTGTTGGGCGTCCGATTAGCCAGCCTAGGTTGGGGGAGTCGTCGCCTCCTAGGGCGCCCAGTTGACCGATTACACTGAGGGATGTTAGTTAAACTCCTTGTTTTTGGTAACATCGTGTCTTACCTCGCCATCACTAGACCAGATACATCATCGAATACAGCCGCGCTGACTAGTACTGTACCAACTCGGGTGTCCGCGAAGCTGATCTCTTTAGAGCTCTTGCCTAGCACCACGAATGTCGTCCCAAGTGAGGTGACAGAGAGCGCAGCCCCAACGATGAACGTTTCGATCGCTCCATACCCAAAGCCGACATACAGAAGTAGGTATGTGAGTCCAAAAGGAGCGACGACACCGATGGTCGCCGCAATAGCAGAGAGGCCAAAGTTTGCTTTGAGCAGATCTAGCCGTACGGCTAGGGCGCCTTCAAAGATGATGAGAACAAGACCAATGTATCCAAGCGCAATGAAGGCTTCCTGCCATGCGATGGGTATCATATCACCACCGATAGGCAGGCCATAGATCAGACCAACTATGATTTGGCCTATAAGACCAGCGCGGAACACCCGGTTCGAAAGCCATTCGCCGAAGGAAAGCCAAAAGAAAAACGAAACGAGAACGAGGATTTGGATGACTGTTAGAGGTCAGTGATTGCAAAACCATGTAAGAAAGTAAACAACCTACTATTCGGCTCATGATACTGCAAAAAGCCCTCTGCCGCCTGAGTTGAAGAGTCACCAGCCATACTGAAAATCGTCTCGAATGTGTAAAAAATGCGAAGATCGCTTGCCTATTCCAGGCCCTACACGACGTCCACCTCATCTTTAAACACATCCAAAGCCAACCAGCCAGCTTATCAGCTCCGCGTCAACACATGTTTCGCACCTCGCATCCTGATGTCTTGGAGATACCTGTGGCGGCCAGCCAAGGCGAGCGCGGATGCAGGCCCGACATCTGGGCTGAGGCAAAGACAAGCTCGCACGTGCGAACGAGTCAGTGACGCGTGCCTCGCGCAGCCTTGGTGATGCCTGTTTCTCAACGGCCGGCCTCTTGGTCTGTAAGGGATGCGGCTATACTTGTGGGAGGCTGCCTTGGCGTTTCCGCTCCGCGCTTGGCTGGAGGCTGAAACGGTATCTCCGCTTTAAGGCTAAACGTGAACTGTCGGAGGCGCCTTCTGGGTCTTTGGGATCGAGTCAAGCGAGGTTGCGGCGGACGCGATGGGAGTTAGTCGTGGTGGAAGTATGTGGGCGGAAACCGGGTGGTCGGTGTTGCTGGTTCACTCCAGGGCACGTGGGTAACATCGACTATTCCAAGGTTAACAGACTGCAGTGCCTATACGCGTGTTTTAGTAGAGTAGATTGTTAGGTGTAGCAGCTTGTTGCGCGCATGGGCAATCGAAGGGCGAACCTAATAGCCGCCCGCTCAGCAAATTATTCACTTAACCAACATGCGCGCTCAACGCAGCCCAACGTCTTACAGCAGGTACGATCGCCCCGGCTACAACCAGCGTAAGTGCGGTCCTGCGGAGTTTAAAGTATCACAAATTTACAACTGCATACCTAGGTAGTCCGTTACACTTTTCATCTACTTCCCACGCACTTACAATCCGATGTAGCTACTGCTGGTCCCTGCACTACATCTACGTGCAGTCGCTCTCATGCAGCAACGTCACAACGACCACGAAGGACAGTGTGTATACTGCCAACAGAGCGGCTGCGCAGTTGAGCTTCAGTGCGCTGAGCGCTACGATTGCACTGCCGACGCCGTCGAGTGCGACGTTCTTGCCGCCACTGTCGAGCCAGACGAGGAAGGTGGTGCCGAATGCGACGAGTACGGTGAGAGGGCCGAAGAATACTTCTGTTACTTTGCCTACGCCGCCGCAATGTACTGGCGATGCGGGATAAGCGGTGGTTGGTGGGTGATTATATATATCGATGTTTGATTAGATGGTAGCAGCGATGATGGGTATGGTTTGTCTTGGTCCCAGTATGGTTCTGTGGGAGACGTTATAACTGTGAAGTCGTCGGCGCCAGGGTCTTGTTGAAGTACATCTAGAAAATTGATCTTGAACCATTCCTCTTCGCTCCATCACTCTACCTAGGTACTATACCCATGATTATCCTCTGAGACCCTCGTCCAGTTTGTTATACTCATAGTCCCATGTGTATCGCTACTAGATCCTCGATGAAACACGTTCAAAACGCAAGCTCAAGTCATACCTTGCAAACACCTACAAGCGAGAGGCAGTGAACCCCTAATTAGGCAGATAAATCGAAGAGACACAAATCAGCACTATAAAATGATGTGTTGAAGAGCATGGGTCTTCAAGAGCTGAAACGTATTCATGTGAAGGATCACGCACTCGGGGTCAGCTCGTTTCCTGATAGTAAAGGCTCGTATGAGGAATTAGACTGTGCATAAAAAACAAAGCAAGATCGATAGCGGTAATGACAGGTTCGATTTATGTCGCGTGTAGGCTCAAATATATGGGGAACTGGAAAGACTGTGTACTAACATGAAAAGAAAATGCCATCTATGGAGATATTGGTAAAAGCATGCTTCGCATACTCGTCCATCCTCCACGTGTGCTCATGTAACCAGGTCACTCGCACTACGAGACATTGCTGGTGCCATCCTTGTGCAAATGGCCAGTGGTGACTCTCTTGCCATTGTCGTCCAAGAAACGAATAGAGAGGACCAGCTTCTCATCGTTTGGATCGTCATGGGACCGGTGCCACTTGCTTCCCTTAATCTCTGCCTTTTTGATGACTGGTTTCTAAGTCGTGTAAGCAAGTTTTTGGCTACACGAGCGCTGCGTATCGACATACATCCTTTTCAGTTTTTTCGCAGAATGCTTTGACAAGTGGCACGCTCTCGGCATCGAGGTGTTCAAGGGTGACCTTGCCGACGTATTGAATGAGTCTCCGGGATGAGGCTTGCATATTGGAAATTGTGATGGTGGACTAGTATCGATTGGGTGGATAGTGAAGGATGTTGTGATGTGCTTGATAGTGAATGTTGATTGATGAGAATGTGATGAAGCATGATTGATAGAAGGATGCCTCTACTCTTATACTCTCAGTTCTTGGACTTCGCAACACTGAGATCATGGTGCTCTGCTGCAACACTGACTCTTAGTGCTTTGCTCGACTCTAAGCTTATGGTGCTCTGCTGCAACACTGACTCTTAGTGCTCTGCCGCGATACTGAGCTTGTAGTGCTTTGCTGCAACACTGAGCTTATGGTGCTCTGCTGCAACACTGACTCTTAGTGCTCTGCCGCAACACTGACTCTTGGTGCTCTGCTGCAACAATGACTGTTGTTGCTCTGCTACAAAACTGAGCTCATGGTGCTCTGCCACAACAATGACTCTTCCAAGGTTGTTCCTCTACCGCGACACTGAGCTCTTGATGCTGCGCCCCAACTGTTTGAAGCTTTACTCCAAGTGATATCCAACACTTGCTAGAATAGCAAGAGTGTCACGCTATCCTCCGTTACTCGCTCACATCCCGAACGTGGCTGTGAAGAAGTGACACTAAGTCTGAATGAGACATTGTGGGGTGAGGTTGACGCGCGTGTGCTCTGAGTCCAAACATTGGAGAAGTTCTCGATTAGTCGGTGCGTAACAAACAGAGTCCGTGTGATGGTAGGACAGGACCCTGTTTTGTTAGCGTTGTTTTTGCCGCTGGCCAATTGATCGACGAGCACAGACGCGGCATTGACTGTGCTAGGCATCCGTGCTGCCAGCATGCCGCCTTTGGACCGTCACACTAACTTCCAACAATTATATAAAGTCTCTACACCATGCTGAGATTTGGGCAACGCGCATGTAGTCGCTTCAAATTTCCCTCTCACATTTCCCGAATTTCGCGCTTCCAGAGTACGAAAATGAGTGCCAGCGAGCTCTTCGAGGAGGAGCGCCTTCCGTGGTATAGCCATGATCAGTTTTATCCAGCACGACCTGGTGAGATTCTCGATTCTAGCTTTAAGATTATAGGAAAACTCGGTTACGGTGCATACTCCACGGTCTGGCTGTGTCGGGATATTCGGGATATTCAGTATGTTTGGCGTTCTTCACCCCCATCCACCCTTCAAATTCTGATCATCTGTGCACAGAGAACGAGACGCTGGCTTCGTCGCTGACTTCGTCGCTGTCAAGATTTGTACCCGAGATGCCGAAAAGACCCCACAGCTCAATCGAGAGCTAGACTTTTACGAGCATGTCAGTTCTATACAATCACAGCATCGCGGCCAAGCATACATCCGCGAACTGTATGGCGAATTTGAGCTCGACGGTCCGACTGGCAAACACTTGTGCTTTGTTCATCCACCCATGCACATGACTATTCGACAGCTCCAGTATTACAACCCAGCACACAAGCTCGACGTTCCGCTTCTAAAGTTCACGCTAGCCAACGTGCTAAAGGCACTGTCGTTCTTACACGACGAGGCTAAGGTCGTACATACAGGTACGGCAAGATAATGCAACGTAATTGAATCAACTGACCAGTTAGACATCAATCCTGGGAATATCATGCTGACTGTGAATGATAACACTATCCTGGAAAACTTCGAGAAAGCTGAAGCAGAAAACCCGTCACCATCCAAAGTGATTGACGACGCACGCACCATTTACAGTTCCCGTAAGCTTCCCCATCCTACGGGTGGTCTTTGGGGCCGACCAGTTCTCTGTGACTTTGGAGAAGCGCGGATAGGAGATTCCCACTCCGGCTTTATTCAGCCTGAGCTATACCGTGCACCAGAGATAATTTTCCAGATGGAGTGGGACTCCAAGGTGGACATTTGGAGTCTCGCCACGTTGGTAAGTATTCAACACTATCATAAGGAAGCCGCAATGACTTACCCTTGATTAGGTGTGGGACTTGTTTGAAGATGAGCATCTGTTCGACGCCCGTGACACCGAGGGCAACCCATCAGGGACACATCATGTTTCCGAAATGGTTGCATACCTTGGAATGCCTCCGCTTGAATACACACAAAGCAACGACATAACAAAGATTCTCTTCGACAAGCAAGGTTAGTCATCGAGATCGTCCCGACATAGACTCTGCTAAGTTCAATAGGACACTGGACGGGTGGCTCCAAGAGTGTACCTATTCCTAAGATCTCACTCGAGGAAAGAGTCTCTGCGCTTGAAGGGGAGGAAAAGGAATTGTTTCTCGATTTCATACGCTCGATGCTCAGATGGCGGCCGGAAGACAGGAAATCGGCGACTGAACTCCTGAAGCACCCATGGATGGCCGACATGAAGTAGTTGCGACGACGATCAAGCAACCATCGCACTGCGGAGTCGTTCCCGCGGAGCCTCTGTATTAGTTACATGTTTTCCTAGGTAGAATTGTTTTACAAAAACATATGCTTCTTCACTTCCAACTACTAGCTAACTTAATCCGCGTAAGAACTTCTGTTGTCATCAAGTTACTAAACAGAGTGGGAAGAGAATAGCATAGCCTCTTCGCAGTAATGGCGTCGCGTGCGTGCATGTTATCGAAAGGGGGCGAAGGGAGAAACGCGACGATGGGTGGGTGTACGCGTCCTAGAAAATGAGCTAGTCTACATTCGACGGCACGCGTCTTGGAGCTTTCCTCCCCTAACATCACTGGAACTCATCATCGCACCCGTGTACATCAATACGGGATCTTGTTCGCATCGCACCGACGCGACAATCTATTCCACGCTATGATTACCGCCTTAATACCGCACGCATGTGCATGTAAGCGCCGGCCCTCGGTCTTCGCACGCTGCATTGCTGTGCCGCAATCTCGTCCCGAGCCACCTGGGCACAGTAAAAAGCCCAACGACCCAAACAAGACCTTTTGAGCTCCTGCAATCTGCGGCCAGATCCTTCGTGATTGCGCAAATTCTCTCAAGATATTTTGAGCTGTGTCGCGACACCTCTTCATCGCCGCCTACGCCGCCATGCGTGCGTTGCTCCGAAAATGGCAGCGGAAAAAGCCCGAACCGACGACGCCATTCACACCAGGCCGAGACCCCAGCTTGATAACGCGACCTGAATTACCGAGAGATGAGCCTCTAGATCAGAAGCAGTGTGTGCTGTTCCAGAAGCTGTCGGCTGAAATGCGACTGCTCATCTACGAAGAGGTCCTCGCCGACCCGCAACGTCTGCTGCACGCTTTACACGTTACCCCAATTGGGGGCCGACCTGCAAAGCTAGGTCATTGGCGTTGCGAGACACCACAGAGCGAAAGCTTGGTATGGCAACATGCATGTTTCGGCTTATGGAATGAGGGCGAATTCCAGCACGTTCGTGACGCATACTACACCAACGGTGATCTTCTATCGCTACTTCTTACTTGCCGTCTGATGTAAGTGGCAGCCGCTCAAATCACTTCTCAGCTACTTACTAGAACCCATAGCTACTGTGAAGCGGTGGAGGTCCTGTACAAAGCCAACTACTTTAGTTTCAGAGGCATGACAGGAACATCCAGTTTCCGTACGCTCGTAACCCCGGCCAATTGGAATATGCTCCGTAAGCTACATATATCCACGACTTTCCTGACTCCGAAGTACGGTTTGATGATCACACAAAACAACGGGCTTCGATTGCCTGGAGAGAATTATTATGAATGGGAGAGAGGTTGTCACATACTCGGTTACTTGCTTGAGCTACGCGTCGTCAGGTTCGAGATCACCTTCATGCACAAACATCAACTCCATGACTCCGATCCTCTAGTCATAGATCAAGAGCCCGTGATATTTGTTCTTGGCGCATGCAAGCTGATAAGGGCTCAAGAGTTCCTCGTGGAATTGAATCTGGAACTACCTCACACAACGATACAAAGACTTGGTGGTATCCCATTCACCATATTGCGCCACTCGAAACAATATGACTGGAGGACCTTCTCGTCATGAATCGCCCAAATCCGAGTTTCATGACATGCGATCACACGGGAAATGTCTCTCCTCTTCGCCCAGCCGTATCCATCGCATATAGTTCCAAGCTGAGCCACCATCCTCTCGATCATGTCACCGGAACAATACGGCCTTTGCTGTCGACCTTGCGGGGGTTTTGCGGGTCTCTCATCAGTTTACAAGCTATAAATCGATCAGCAGTCAGTCGTTGCATGGGAATCGGCTCACGTACCGCTTCCGAAGAGAGCTATTGTATCAGCATTGTTGTCTGGTCCACCGGGGGTATTAAGCTCGCCGCCTTTACGAGCAAGCTTTCCCACACCCTCCCAACCGTACGCTGCCCAGTTGAATGGCCTGAGGATGACATTGGGTGTAAGTACGTCTTTGATGCCTTCGACCACACCTTTCTTGGTCCATTCTTGGAAAGCACCGCGAGCATGTGTCATCTCATGCAAAAGAACTTTGTCCAACAAGGAGTAGGCATCTAGGATTGTTGTGATCAGTCTGCGTCCTGGAGTTCTCAGAGCACAGCGTACCAATTTGGTTCAGGCCTAAGCCAAAGGTCATGCGGTTCGATGCTGCCCTATTGATCATCTTTCTACCAATCTTTGTTCGCTTTTGGACGTCGTCGGCGGTTTTGTACTCCTTTTGTTTGATCCAGTCCACGAACCATGAGCAGAGCTGAATCTGTGCTGGCCGTCTAACGGTTGTCGTTTTAAACACCCCTGTGTTCGCTATTTCTTGTTCAATCTGCTTCGCTGGAAGGTTGGCTGACACTGCTAAAGCAACGTTATCGAGTATCGAACCTCTGCATTGTTGCTCATTGAATTTCAGTTTGTATCCGTTTGCTATGCTCGGTCAGTCTATGGCTATAACACTACCAACTATCACGCGTACTGGTATCTTCCCAGAGGTCCTTGTGCCCTTCAAGTTGTACCCAGCGATCGTAGTGACAGAAGATGATCTGGAAGATGATATATCAGCATAAGCCAAGCAAAACATTCCGGGTTCTCTTACCACATCCGAAGCGCTGACAGTTGCGTCGCCCGTCACCTCTGTTGACATGTATGTCCGAATGTTTCTCAACAATGTGATGGTCTTCTCTAGCTTGCCTTGCTGGAGAAGCTGAGCGGGATTTGCTCCTTCCCTTGCGAATAGGAATCCAACCAGGTCCTGCGCATCAGAGCTCAGGGGAGGTTGCGTCAGAGTCTCGTATGCTGCGGATACCATCTCGAAAGCCGAAGTCATCGCGTTACGGACGTCCACCGTAACACCTTTGGCATCACAGGACTGGTCGATTTTGTATGCTTGAACAAAAGACGACATGATAGCGTGGAACGCTAAAAAGAACGAGAGGTGTAATCGGATGTTGAACATCATCGAGTTTGTTGGGCAATCAGATTGGTTGTTTAGAACGTGGAATAGAAATATGCTATCTGCGACGAAGCCTTTGTACAAGCTGCTTAAATACGCACATTGTTCTGGCAATACCCTTGACATGCCATGGAGCGATGCAGCAGCGAGACCCGCGCCGCTGCCATCTCGCCCCATATCGCATGTCGTTCTATTCTCAATTATTTGACACGATGAAGCAGCCTCACGGCCGCTCCTCATGTTGTGTGCTTCGCACGTCGGGTAGTAAGCACCTACGCTGCTATTCGTGGGGGCGCTTCACGTGGCACAGTTCGCTTCCTTCCCAGTCGTGATGAACAACAACAGTTTTTGATGCATCATACAGGAGAACCAGCCCCCAGCCCCAAGAACTCGTCAAACTCGCGACACGTTGAATACATTCCTCGGCCCCAGCCGCTCAACTTCTGCACTCCGCCGCATACCGAGCATTAGCGAGGCTTCCCAACTTTCGCGTGCCTGGTCAATGGTGTTTCATGTCGACTTCCCCAACTCGAAATGTGTCCATAGTCGCCGCCTGGTCCTCGGCCACCTTCTAATTCGAGACCCTTCTTCTTCGGGTGCGAGTACCGATAGCTGTGCCTCAAGGGGAATGTTCACAGACGGGGTCTGTCTTTGCTGTGCCTCTCCGGATATCGCGATGCCGCTTGGGGCGATGAGAAAACGACATGGTGTCTCGAACGGGATATTTGGTTGCTAGATAAGGCGCTGGAACCGTGAGATCTCCATACATAAGCTCCACCATCTGCAAGAAATGACCAGCAGTCAAACTATTTCTCCACAGTCGCAATGTCTTTCCTCAACTTGCTCGCGCTATCCCTCACTTTCCGAATCGCTTCAGCTCGAGTCTTGGGAAAATTTACTGGACTACCGTATCCAACGTTAAAGCCTCCTTCGCGTAGAGAAGACAGCTCTGCTCTTCCAACGTTCACATTGGGCCCCGAGGATGCGTACTTTCCAAGCACGGTATGTATCGATTCGCTTTCCTTTTGAACGATGCTAAACTCTACACACAGGCCGCTGGCCCGGAGCCATCGGGATCCGAAGTCCAGGTGTATCCTACCGGGGTCTACGACACTTTCCCAGCTGACGGGATCACTGTCGCGTTCGGTCCGGAGATACACGAACAAATGAAGACTGTTCGCGCCGAAAGCTGTAACAATAAACCAGCTGAAGAATGTCGCGACGCAATCAACAGTGTGATACAGAAGACTGGGGTATCTACTCACGTCAAACGCTTCATTCCCGTTGCACCTTGGGTTCTCTGGCTTCTGGCAGGATGGGTGTTATCCACAATAGCCTACGAGTACAACCAAGACCTGGGCAAAGCGATAAAGCTCCCCCCAGAGGATCTCCGGCAGATTCAATCGATGGCCGGTGCTCAAGAAATTGCTATCGTGACGGCCGCCGATGCCAGCGCTATCGCAGCTACTTTAACAATTCGACCCCCCGCGACGATCACGCCGACGTAAGCAGCCAATATCTGATCATGGTCTGCAAAATACTGATAGTTTCTCTAGGAGTCTTATCAGCATCGAAACGCTCACTACAGCCAGTGACGGACACGAAGCCGGAGATATTGTGTATCATATTCCCGAAGGAACGGCCGGACGCATCCAGGACTTCTTGGGGATGACCGGCCTTGAAGAGACCCAGCAGATCTGTCAGGGCCAGGACCTGAAGCGCGCTGATACTACTGAGGAGTGCATCGAACGTATTTTACGCCATGCTATGGACCTTGCGGATACCGGCCCAGACAACCTAATGGCCTTGGCTCAGGCGAATATTCCGATTGAACCAGCTGTTGGTCAAGCCATTGGGTTTCCGATTCCTGATATCTCCATCGGCGAATCCGTAGTTATCGTTCGGCTATATCGCCAGGTCTTCACTGCAACCGCGCCAGCCCCTCAGCCTGACCTGAATTGGGACCCCTCCGTCCTCGCTAGAAGTGCGCTAAGTCTCGCCATCGCTGCACATGCGGCTATGCTCGTTGGTCAGACTCTCCTCGACATATTCGTCAGCAAGAGTGATATCATCACTGATCTAAAGGAGGAGGACCTAACATGTGCTAAAGATCTCATATGCACACTCGATGACTGTAAGGGCCAAGACGAGGTCACCGAACGTCTGAGTTGGATGGTCAGTTCAAGTACCCCTTCGACGCCCATATGTCGCACGGTATGTAACATAACCCACGTGGTCGCTTCGCTGACAGTAGTGCACGCAGCCCAAGAATTTCGGATGCAGATGCGAAGTTGTCGAATATCCCTACGTGTACGAGGTGCCGAAAGGATACATGGATGCGCAATACGCATGGCTCGAAGAGCTCATCAAGCGAGCCGAAGAGCCTGTGCTTGAAGCTGAATGCAAGAGCAATCTGCAAAGGTTTGATGAAGGGACGTTAGGTCCCCCGAATCCGGGTTCTTCACAGACCTTTGACCCCAGATCCAGCTTTGAAGGGTAAGCCGACTCACAAAGTCCAGCCCAGTACAAATTGCTAATTGTTACCCAGCTGGATTGACACTGCATGTGACAAGTTTGACAACCGGCTCGACAAAGAATGGCACTGGTCATACGACGATATAACTGGATTTGTCTTCAGCCTCCGATGGAGCCAGATACCGGACGGGGTTTCCGACTGCCCACTTGACTGCAGGGCCGCATTCGCGCCCTTCCTAGAATCTTCTGACTGTAAGTCTGGAAAGCCGAACTGAGCGTCGACTTGCGCTGACATGATGGGCAGGTGTGAAAGACGAAGGCTTCTCGAGTTCTGGTAAAATCGTGACCGAGTGCGGAAGAGCTTCGTTGTATACACGCACTACAGCATGCACCCCTGAGCATCCGGAGTGTTGCGACACCTTCGGATCTGACTGCGGAGTGATCGACGAGTGAAGCCTGCGAGCTTGCAGGGTGAGTGCCTGCTAGGGTATTCTTTAGGAATGTAAAAGCCAGTATCAAGGTCAGGTCTTTGTATGTAATTCAGAATAAGTCTTCATACCAGTGCGCTTTCTAGAACGAAACGGAGCTGGTCTTTGCAAACCTCTTTGTTGGCCAGTGACGTCATCTCACGCGCTAGAACACGGTCATGACGCCACAGGCGTTTACGCGTTCACGCGAGATATCCATCCCCAGCTTTGACACAATCATTGCACCAATTTTTTCTCTCATCGCACCCTTTCGTCAGCGTGCGACAACAACGCGTCGAAAGTTATCAGACGCCGCGGACTTTAGTCCATCGGCAGCAAGATCGGCCTTCGAGATGGACGATGACGGTCTTGTGCACTGCATACATCAATGTACCAATTCCATTACAACGGGCTGAGATCGATTGGTGGCATGGTTGCTTGCACCCCTCAACGTTCCATGGGTAGAGCTGTGGATCGCGAGCGCCGCGCAATCTTGCCCTCGCTCTTCGACAAGGGTTGAGATTTCTCCTGGCTGCACTCAGAGCAAGTTATCGTAAGTGTGGCTACTATGATGAGAATACTTCCATTTAGAATACTGCAAACATACCCCTTCGAACGCATATTGCAAAGCTATGGCGGCTCGAGATCCACCGGAATCGCTGCAGCCCCATGCGCGGCATCATCTCACATCGCTACCCTATCGGCTACTGGAGAAGTTACGCAGGTGCACGCCACGAACGATACCTAAGGCATCAGTATACACACTTAGCTAGCTTCGCAGCCAAAGGACACGACCGCGCAACAGCCATGTATCCGCACGGGATCGCCACGATGAAGACATCTCTCGAAAGAATCAATTGAAAGACTGTTCCAACCTAATTTTGATGCTACCGAGGGAACTGCGCGATCAGATCTATGAGTACGCTTGGCAAGGAACGCATATCTACTATCAGGACGACTTTTGCCTCGCTGGCGCTGTCAACGCGCGGTATCTAGACTGCGATGAACTTTGCGAACAGATCCAGACCCTTCCAGCATGGGTGACCATACATCCTCAGATTCAAGAGGAGGCGCTTCACTTCTTCTATCAAGTGGCAGAGTTCAGTGTTGGTGACGGCAATGAATACACGACCCCGTTTCACGGATCGACATCGCACATGTCCAGCATCTTGTCGATCGAGAAGGCGCGCAATATTACCGTGTTCGGCATTACCGGGCATTATGAACCGCATAGCGATACAAATTCTATGGACTCTTTCGCTGGCTCCTTGGATAACGTAGGAGACTCTCCGGACTCATTCACAGACTTTGTGGGTCTATTCACAGACTCTGTGAACATCACGCTGAACGATACTCAACGAAAACTCATTCGCCATGTCACAGATAATGACGCGGTTCACCTTCTACGTCTTTCAGCGCGACTTCAGCTACGCTCTGGTGCAATTACTCTCATCGAGGAAGAAGCTCACCTCCAGGCGTTACAAGACTTGCAGGAAGCGTCGTATGGTATCAGCCATGTACAGATGCATTTCCAATTGGCATGGCAACCTTCCCAGTCCACATTACTTGGAGACTTCCGAGTCGCGAACTATCATTTCGTAGTTAGCTGCTGGATCTTGGCAAAATCCATACTTGTCCCGCCTTCCACATATTTCACGCCTGCCTGCTCCGTAGACAAGGAGTCTGAGCCGGACGCTGCGGGGCGGGAATCAGCATTTAAAGATACTATGGATTTGCCGCATTGGAAAGACAACAACGCCAACCTTGAGCAGCACTCGCAGGGGATCATGACGACGGCTATGGCATATCGCTGTAGCGGTGTCGGGCTAGAAGATGGTGCTCTATCGGCGCTCGCTCCTGTCTCCTCCAATTAGGCATCGCTGCTAGAAAACGAGAGCCTTAAGGACCCGGAAAAGCAGCACCGGTTGGGTCACAGCACTATGACAATATCTTTATCGACCTCGATACATCGCGAGTGGAGGCTGATTTCTCTACTGGCTCGCCGTCGGCCTTTCCCTGTACTTACACTCTGGTTGTCTATATTTAACAGCACAGTTACGCCCTGCGCTAGACACGTCACAAGCTTCAGGCGCCCCGTTCCTCCCACCAAGCCACTGTAACGAACTTGTTTCTGTCACTTTCGACTCGAGCGTCGCACTCACACTACATTTGAATTGCCTATATGCCTTTACACGAACGCGCTATATTCAAGAAATCGAGAGAATCCTACCCTATTTAAAAAACGTCTTGTACATATATCGGCTCGCCTGCCAGCTTCTGACATCGCTATCAATCATGTTCGAGCATTTCGTACCCAGGCACGTCCCGCCTCTCCTTCTCGCCAGCATCTGGACAGCCGGCGGGCTGATGTCTTTTACTCATGGGCCCGAACAAGCTATCCTGACATACGGTCTCTCCAAAAGCATCGCATCTTCTAAGGCAGCGTGGCCTTTGATCAAGATCGAAGGTTCGCGCGTTACCACTATTGGTATGGCGATCTGGGGAATTTATTTCGGGGGCCATTTGGAAGCCATGGACACACTACTTGCTTGCATTGGATGGATGGCAATCATTGACGGTGTGGTATGTGCGAAGGAAGGGTCTCCAGGATCTGCTAGAATGCGTGCGACGTATCAGGGTGTGGTTGCGCTTTGGGGCTTGCTGGGTATGACTTCGGGAAAGTACTTCTAGATTGAGCTTCGGAATTGGGTGATGCGCGTGCGATATATGGGGTTGTCTATCAAAAGACGCGCTGCTGGCTCATCTCTAGTATACGACGGGTCATGTTCAGCATCCTGATAGATCTCTTCATCCAAACCTTGCCGTCTAACTTTTTTCCAAAGTACAAACAAAGTGCCTCATCCCTAAGTTCGCGATCTGACGCCAATATCCAGCCGTAATGAGTATCAATCTCCTGGTACCGCCTTTCCATATCTGCGACTATCTCCCGCACTCGCCCAACTGACTTGCGTTCTTCTGCTGTACCCGGTGTGGCTTCCATGAAGCCGTTCCAGAGGGCGTCAACTTCCTCTAGCTTGCCACTAATGGTCCTCTTCAGCTCGCTGATCTTGTAGACTAGATCTTCGAATTCTGAAGAAAAGTCTCCGCGCGCTTCGCGCGCTTGGTCTTCTCGTATGTTAGTCATTATTCGATTTGACTTTGTGCAAAATCGTGTCCAATTGTATGGAGAGCAGTGATAGCAAAGGAGGAAAAGCTCAGTTCTCGTGGATCTGCAGGTAGAGTATGCTTCAGAGAAGTCTGGTACTCATAGACATACCTAATTCATGTGAAGCTAGGCGTAACTGCGCATCATGCAAACGCTTACCCAACTCCGCCAGTAACCTAAGATCGTATTCATAGCCCTCCACAGTCACGACTACTCATGGGCACGCGTGTGATTCAGAGTCTGTGATCATACGATGATGCCATGGTTATCGCCCGTGTGAACACGGCCAGGCAGCGGTTCATCCCATTCAATAGGCCCATAGAAGGTGCATTATTAACGCCTCTAAAACAAGAGCGCAGTGCAGCAACTCATGTATTTTAGTCCGCATCGCTAGTCGCACTCAGCTGCATCTTCATCATTTTTCCACTTGTCCCCGTATAGTTCGCCAAACATTTGATCTAAGCCACTCAGGGCCGCCTGCGCTCTCCGTGCTCTCATCCAGGCATCCGTCAAGTCTTTCTGAAGCCGTTCCCTTTCGCCTTCTTCGAACTTCAAATGCTGCAGCAGTATATGGATATCTTCCCGCAAGATCCATCCCGATGGGTCTTCATCAAAACCTGCGACTGCTGCTTTGGCTGTATTGATAGCTCCGTGAATGTTTCGAAGCATGCTTGCGTCGAGACTCCTAACGCTTCTGGTCTTTTCGACAGTTCCGTATCCGCACAATATATCGTAGTTACCAGCGAATTTTCCCTGTAGGTGTCGGTCGGTGTTTATGCGAATAACGTGCTTGAGATGTTCGCCAATACTCTGATGTGTGAAGGTTTGATCTAGCTTCTTGATGAGCTTTGTGGCATTCGTCTGTTGAACGAGCTCGACTGATGGCACAATCAGTACTACACAATTCTATCGTGGTATTAGACGTACTGCTGGTGACCGGCTTGACAGCGACTTCACTCGGCAAGTTTGACACTCTCTTCATCTCCTCTTTGATAGCCTTGAGCTTGGTGAGTATCTGTTTCTCAGAGTCACCGGACTCTTTAATGACTTTATTGAGCATCTCGAACGTGGAGAATGCATCGTAGGTGGCGTAGTTTCTGCTCGTCATCGTGATCAAGTACCTTAGGTTTTGAATAGTACGTGAACGATCTACAAAATTCCTGCGATGGTTTTGTAGAAGACTATGACTGTACCGTGCTGTCCTGTGCGCAAACAGTCACACCCAAGCTGTGACCCAGAAGACGTGACGAGCCGGCAACAAGTCAAAGCGTGTCACGGCCAACATCAAAATGACCCGACAAAGAACAGAAGCATGGACACCGTCCCTTACAGAATCCTCGCGTACACCGCCTTCAACAAAAAGCAAACACGTCGCTGTTGTTGTTGTGAAGTCTTATCTACTGTTGAGGCGCCGTCATCCCGAGACGATGCATGCTTCTACAAAACCACGGCTTGCGCGTCCACCCGAAATAGAGCATCAGTCATCTCCGCCGTCATGTCAACACCACACCCAACACCTCGGGCCACACTTCTCTCTACCACCTTTTGGGAAATCCTTCCCTCACATTACGACAAGATCATAAACCGCTGGTCGAAAATCGCACACCTGCATCACGAAGCAAAGTCTGACATTCTCGCCACCGACCGCGCTGGTGCCGTGGCCTCTATCAAAGCCGAACTGGAGATGCTGGAGCAGGATGTGGAGCAATATCGGAGGCTCGTGAACAGCATCGATATCACGGATATCGCAGGCACTTATGTTGTGGGCGGGAAGTCGCCGCAACGCGCATTGGAAATCGCCAAGGAGGACAAGCAGGATTTAAAAGAGAGTTTGGAGATGATCGAGGAGAAGGTGAAAGAAGTCAGGGCAGATGTGAGATACGGGTTCGAAGAGGGAGAGTTCGACTGGTCAATGTGTCCCTAGAGGCTGCATTCCAATCCGGGTGTTCAGCTTTGAGCTGTAAGCCAAGTCCGAAACAATGTGAAGCTGACAGTATGAAATGTCAGTAGGCTAGTGGTTGAGTAATGAACAGAGTACGACTAAACGTGATTGTCATCCTACAATGATGCCCCGCGACTCACATATTCGAATGTTTGATTATCCACCCATGATGTCTGAACCAGCTTCTTCCTTCACGCCCTGGTTTACAAAAGCAGGTCAGCAAGAAAAGATATGCGAAACATGTTCAAAACCACAGCGGCAAAAGTCAGCACAATGAGCGACGTCCATGACCCTCAAGACCGTCAACCGCGAGACCTGACATCCATGTTAATTGACCTCGAAGATCGAGCCGACCGCGTGTTGACAAGTCTTTACTTGCTCAAGCAGTTAGACGAAGAATTTGCAGCTATCGAGTCAGTCACAAAGCAGCAAGACTGTGTTGATCTTATCCGATCACACACCGAGAAAATGGAGGCAAACCTGGAGGTCATGGAGCGGAAAAACGAGTTGCTAGACGATGAACGGATCTGTGACTGGATCAACAACGGCAGAGGTGACACAGAGAAAGAGAACAGGAACGAGTTTCTCAATCGATTAATCAAGAAGATGGACGGTCTGCAGAAACAGATGGCGGAAGTGAGGAGGGGTTATGTCGGATAGGGGCATCGCGAAAGATGCGCAGGTGCGGGGATGCCGTGTTGTCGTCAAGGAAACAGCAGCTCCACCGAATGCCATTTGCAAACTTCTTGCTTCTGCACTTCCTTTCTGGAAGCCTTCAATGAGTGCCGCTGAGTGTGCTACTCGAAGGAGCATCCCCACTGGACTGGCTGTGGCAGTGGTGCTGTGTTGGGAATGTTGCCGCTCTCTCGGAACTCAACAATCTTCCTTTCTCCGTCCTCCTCTTTGACTACCGCGAATGCTGCGTTTGTGAAGTACAAGTCGCGTTTGACGCGGGTCTGGAAACCACCGGCCCACCCGATCATGTAGACGAAGCCACCTTTGTCGCCATTTATGTTGGGCACACCAAGGGTGTTGATGGGGCCATGCTTGAAAGGCGCAAAGGCCATGCCCAGTGTCGCGTTGAAGATTGTATAGAGTCGCCGCGAGCCATCAAAGTCGTAATGCGTGTCGTTGAAGGTGAATTTGATGTCTTTCGAGAACGATTTCGCATGGCCGTTGGGCCAGTTCGTGTTCGCAGGGTATGGATAGAACCCTGTTCCTGTATTAGCATGATGCGACCTTGAGCATATTGTCTTTTGTACGTACCATTGACAGCGCATTCTAACCAACTGCTAAGCTGAACGCTCGCATTTGCTTTTGGGGAGTCGGCCAACGAGCAAGGATCGATGGCTTCATTCAAGAATTTGGGCGTGTTCGAGTCTAGTACCTCTTGCGGCGAGATATCGAATGCTGCGATAGATGCGATCAGACCGCATGTGGTGGCTTGAAGTACGTCAGTTGTGATCAGAATTGTGAAAACAGGCCTCTTACCAAGAAACGGGACGTAGCGCATGATATAATTTGTTCTGGCCAGAAAGATAGAAAGTTGAGGAGTGTTGATCCATAACCAGCTCTATTGTGCGCCATACTTATAAGTAGACGGTGACCTCGTTGCCTGCAGTCAAGGCTGACGAGGCTGACGGGCTGAAAGCGCAATGGGTGTAACATTAACACAAGACAGGCAAGTGACCGGGGCGATGGCCGGCTTAGAGCTGAGTGGCTCCTCACCTGTTTGCAACATAGCGACCAGTCAAACGAGAGAGCCTAGTATCATGTACCTGATGAGGAGGATATAGGTTGAGGGTATTAATTGGTGCTGTCAGCTACGAAGCTATCGGAAGCTGCCTTCCGCGCCGATGCGCACCGTGTCATTTTCGCGCCATCGCGGCCAGAGCTCCAGGGCGTCGTCCTACGCAGCGCGTCCAAAGAAAGAGCTCTTCCCAAACAGCCCACCCACTCCTCTTGGCTTCTTGCCCATCTCAACAGTAGCCCTCTTATTGACGACCGTAAAACCACCTGTCCGTATGGCTTTCGCATTTGGATCAGTCTTGAAAGCGCCACTTGGGGGCGCAGCGCCTATGGGCGTGGGCGGCGTGTTGGACATCTCAACAGCCTCTCTCTCCGCCCCGGACATCTCGGCAATCTGAGACGTTTGCGGCATCTGCGCAGGCATCCACTCTACCCTAATCGACTCATCGCGACTAAGTTTCTGGTCGTCAAACCACAGCTCGAAGCGGATGTCTGCCGGCCCGATCAAGACGCGCACCGAGTACTCGATGCGCAGATAGTGCTTCTGCAACGACCAGAAGTGCTTGTTCTTCTCTTGGAACTTCTTCTCGTCCGCTGCAGAGAGGTCTGAATTTATTTCGCAAAGGATGCGCGTGTCTGCGAGCTGTTAGAAAGCTGGACGAATGAGGCGGGCGAGCTTCGGTACACCTACATTGGTTCATTTGGTCTGGCAATATCGCCGCATCCAAGTCGCTCTCGATGACAGTCGTCGGAAATGCCCTTCTTGGATCGCCCGGGTCGACCTTCTTGATGAAGTTGTGCTCGATCGGTTTGTCCACGCTTACTGGCGCGCCCTTCTTGACGAACCACGCTATCGACTGTGTGATGTACAGCTTGTTGTTCAGTGGGTCTCGAACAAGTTCCTTCCCTTGATGCTCAGGGTTCTTCTTGTCATACGCAATCTTGCACACAGTGCCATACGACGCTCGACAACAACGCCATCCGAGGACCGATCGTGATGTCAGAATCTTTCGCATACGATCGCTGACGAGACCCTTGCACACAGCGAGTTGAGGGTCAGGCGCTATGCTCACGGAGATCGACTCAGCATTTGGGAAAGAGGTGCGCGCATAGTACTTTCGCAGCTGCGATTGCACATACGCGCTATTGCCCAGCCCACCACTGAGAACCAGATGCGCTACATGCTCCCTCGGGAACTTCTGAAAAAGCGATTGCAGCTGCGTGTCGATGAGCTTGAACAGCTTCGCGATCTGCTTATCGAATAGGCGCTGCAAGTCTTGCCGTTCAAAGGTCATCTCGCCGTTGCGAATTCGAACTTCCGGATCAGAGTTGCTGTAAGTTTGCGGAACGCGTGGAATTCCTATACTGAATAACGGTGTGTCGTCTGGGGCGCCATACTCACACTTCACGGCTTGGAAGTCTCGACTTTTCATCATCTCCCACCCGGCATCCGCGGGGTCGACCGGTAGAGGATTTGTACTGTGTGCGAGCGTCAACCGATGCATCACCAGCCTCTCGAACTCGTAATCGATAGCGGCGGATCCGATGGTCTCGCCAAATACAACGTCCATCTGCTGTAGATCGATAGCCTGGTTGACCGTGCCAGTGACTTTCAGCACGCTAAGATCGGTTGTCCCACCTCCGGCGTCACAGACTAGCAAGACATCGTTCTCGCGGAAAATGCCTGGTGCTTCAGTGGATACATGTACCGCAGCGGCTTCGGCTTCCGTAAGACCTATCGCCACTTCGTGGTGCGGATGCGTCCCATAGCCCGCCTCTTTCACCAGCCGTTTGAAGTTCTCCACTGTTGGCATCGGAGCCCATGTGGTCGGCACGCTGAATATGAACTCAATTCTAGCCTCTTCCCAGCCGATGCCAGAAAGCTCTCCGCCAAGCTTGAATGACAAGTACTCGTACATTTTCCGCAGATAGTCGCCATACCACTTCTCAACCTCCTGTAGGTTTTCGGGTGCGCCTTCTGGATCCTCCATCTGCTTTCGGCGGAGCTTTTCTGGATCGAGGCATGTCTTGAACCACTCCTTGTACTCCTTGTCGTCGGCCGCGGTCTCTGCAGCGGTCTCCGAAAGAAAGCCCCATGATGACGGATCTTTGGAGCCAATTGGGTAGACGACCACCGTTGGGACTTTGTTCTCGTTCGCCTGGAATCGTCCAGGCCACTTCTGCACCCAGCGGACAGTTTCGCTGCCTATAGAGAGGTTCACATATGCCACGCCGGTACCTGAAGAGATGTATCAGCCTTGGACGGGTGTGATAAGGAGCACGTGATCCAACACAACACACTAATCCGAATCGGGACTCGCCTCCCCACGTGTCATTCCTCAGCCTCGCCAGAACTTACACGTCATCCCAAGGTCTACACCAACAATCATATGCGGTCGCTCGTTTCGCTCCATCTTGTCTCGTTGTCAGTGACGCGGTCTTTGTTGTTGCCTTCCCGCCTGATCACGTATCTATAAGATGCAGAGACGATGCAGGTGCCTTGAGGCGGCCCCTATGTCTCAGCCTTGCGGCACAGCATCTTTTCGACCGATCACAACACGCGCCATTTCGGCCCCCATGTATCTTGGACCCAAGAATACGCACCTTATGCATGCCGAGTGCGCCTTGGGGGCCGCAACGAGGCACATTGTATTTTACCGAGAAGCTAGCACATGGTCACTTCTCACTTCGCCAATAACAGCTCAGTTAGGATTGGTGCAATTAGATACAACACCGGAACGGCTGGTTATCTTACGGAGATCGAAGTAAGCGCCCGAAACCTGTCTATGCTTTGAGCCCTAGGTCGTTACTCATCTGTTCATATTTGATTCCTCGCGCTCACAATCCCGCGTTGTACCATTTGGCCTGTCTCCCCTGAACGAACACCCCACAACCCTCAACATCCGTTGAACAATGACAAGCAACGCGGGTCCAGGTGCAGCCGCACCTACTCCTGTCACATCGTTAACTCAAATCCTCACCGTGCCGGCGACGTTGCAAGCCGATGGTGCCGTTGGGAATTTCACCGTTCCAGTCATTGCTGAAGGAGCGGCAATCACAAGCGTTCTCGTCCTGGTACCCACCGGACAAGGCATTCGCTTTGGCAAAGAATGGGGACAATCACTACCGCCTGGCGAGACAAGGTCTGACGGGTTTTTCACCGTCTCATACATGATCAATCCCGCGCAGATCGTTTTCCATTCTGCTTCCTCCACGGCTACCCCAACGCCAACGAGTGCTGTGCTATCCTCTAGTGTGGCTCCAGTTGCTTCAATTACACCTGGTCCATTACAACCATCCCCCTCCACACCGACATCTGGGACAACTACTTCGACTTCAGCTGCGAAGCCGAATTCTCAACCGCAGGCTACCAACGAGGGACTTTCAACAGGCGCAACCGCCGGAATCGCAATTGGGTGTTTTGCCGCAGGTGCGTTACTAGCCGGACTTATTTTCTGGTTCTGCTGGCGTAAAAGAGGACGCCCAAATACCCAATACCCTGCAGAGAACACATACGCATTGGCTTCACAAGAGAAGGGGTTTTCCGCCAATGCCATGCCCTTAAGCACCAAACGATCGTCTCTAGCTGGTCTGAGTGGTGGACTTCCCCAACCTTTGGAAGACAAAGCTATCTCTGGTGACGTCTCCAAGATCAGCAATGCCATCAAGAATCATGTCCAGAGTTACTACCACACAAGCCATGTCAACCCTGGTCTCATCGACTATGAGGACCTCCATGCATTGGGGCCAGGCCTCCCAGTCTCGGTAGGAACGCTCACTACATTGATTGGAAATGCTGCAACTAGAGAGATCGCACTAAGATTCATCATCGCTTGGGTGGTAATATCGAAACTTCAGCCCTCCAAAGATCCTATAAAGAGCCTCTTGCCGTCCGAAGTCGCCCAATGTTACCAAGCCGTCGCAAATGGAGATCGTGGCTACCAGGGTATGCGATACACATTGCTTCATCGTCTAGTATCCGAGCACTAACTTTCCTCTAGCTCAAACGTCATTGATGGCACGCTGGCGGGTCATGACTGCTGAGTTGATGCAGTCGAGCTACATTCGCAATCCCTTCGGTCCTTCCGACAGTCGACATGCAAGCATACAGGCAACGCTTGCAACATTAGACAACGTTCTGCAACCATACGCGGACTCTCGCATGAACAATGGAGAGCGTAAGCGGAATCTTGAGGAAGTACTGAAGCGGGCTGCGCTTTTCGCTTTCACGCTGTTTTCCCAGCCTAGCGCATGGGAATTCGAGTGGCAGGAGGAACAAGGTGTCACGTCAGGGGACTTGTGCATTTTCCCCGCTCTTGTGCAAGTAGCGGACGAGGCTGGTAATTCAGTCAGCCCGCCGCGGCCTTTCAGCGAGGCTGTGGTGAGACGGTTGGATGCATGAGTCGGTGGCTCATGCAAGGAGACCCTCGCGTACGGCTGTGCTCACAGGTAGAACCTGTGCCACCTTCAAGAAGTTCCATGTTGCGGAGGCCTTTGGGTCTTCCGCTGCCGCCGTCACAATGATGACCACATTGCTATCGAATGAATTTAAGCTTAAAACGGTGCTTACATCTTCATATCCTCGCCGAACAGGGGAAGGCGATACGCTACGACGCTTGCACTTGCGATGAAGAGAGTCATTCATCATGTTCGAGATGCGAAGGCTTACGCGCAACGGCCAATCGGCTAGACCAACTCCTAGCCTGATCTCGCTTCCCTCTTCCGAACCCGCATCTTGCGCATGGGGGCCAATATGGAATGTGTTTTGGCCCCCATTGAGGCGTAGTCCATGCAATCAGCATCCTTGCGGCGTAGCCCAATAGCGAGGTTTGGATCGAAGACCAGTGTCTTATAAGTAATTTATGCCAAATCCGGCGAGACGTCCCATGCACATTGGCATGATTATGCTGTGCGGCGTGAGACGACAACGCTCATGACTCTGCGGTACGGTGCCCGCGGCTGAGTTGTTGTTCTGCGCCCCCAACCAACACTTTACCGCTACATCGGTGCCGTGATCGACTGATAGCTAAACCATGTGTAGCTGTTAGCAAATACTTCCATCGGACAGGCCGACACACGAAACTGGAACACCAGCACATCCGCACCGGCTGTGCCTATTTCGAGCAAGTACTGCGTCATTCTCTGCGGGGTTTGTCCTGGTGTACCTGGCGCATGTCGCCTGCTACCATTGCTTAACCCATGCGCGCTACCAGCTACTTTCAGACTCTGTACAGCAATAGTACAATCAGCTTGAAGTAATACGAACGACGCTCATGCCAACCTTGACTTCGATGTTGCCCGCTGCTGGCTTGTTCTTACCGGAAACACTGCATCGGGCTGACCTCCCCACGCAAGCGCCTACGGAGACCGAAGGAACGAGGCTGAAGTACTTCCAACGCAAGATCGGACGGCCGAAGCAGGAGCCTAGGAACTCTGAGGACCGGCGGCCGTCAACCGCTATTCCAAGGGAAACGCCCGATGACATCTTATGCGACTTTCCAGCGATACCGACTACCTACTACTTTGCGGACTATGTCCTCACCACCGAGAAGGCTTCTGCGGATACCATCGCTTTCGTGAGCATCATCCAACAAGTGCGACAAGACATCGATGAGGCGACACGCCTTTTCATCTCATCTGCGGTTTCGAATTTCTTGGATGCTTACCCAAATAAGCGGAGATGGATCGAGACTTCTTTGCTCGAGGTGCGGCGTGCTCTTAACGAAATCGGCATGGATATGGACAAAGCCTGGGGCCACGATGGAGATGGTGGCACAGCTGCATCGAAGCTCAAGCTTGAGTGGGGTCTAAGAAACCAGAAAAAACTTCTGAAGAAGAAGCAGCTACTAGATCAGTGCCACGCTCAGTTGACTGGTGCTATCTACGTCATGCAAACGGCAGAGCTCTGTGGGAAGCCTGGTGCTATCGCAGAGACCCCCATTTTTGAGGCTCCGGTACGACCTTGGGTACCTCATGATGAGAAAGATGCGCTACGTGGGCCTTATTCAAGGCAGAAATACCGAACGAATCAGGCGAATGTCTCCGCATCAAATATTACACTGGCGTCTGAAGCTGAAAAAGACGACGTCGAAAGTGAGTGTCATCCACGATAGACAGGACTACAGTCCAACTAACAATCTTTAGCTGGTAGTATCAATTCGGTGCCTGTAGAGCTGGCCGGTAGTACGCCGGCTGACTTGGACATCGAGGAGAGGCAAAACTCACAGAGCTTCCTGAGCCCTCAGGTATCCCGCGAATTCAGTACTGAAAGCTCGACACTGTCCAGACGACCACGAGCACGCTCAGACTACTCCCGACAATCCGTCCTCCGGGAACCAAGACCTCGCGCCTCCATCGATGTCGCACCTTCCTCCTCGAATACCGGCGATGCAACAATCGAGCGCACCGACTCCACCCTGTCAACACAAGCTACGGTCAGCGTCCCCATGGTAGCGAGACGGTATCGAGCCACATCGATAGACATCCAAAGGCATAGCGAAAAGCATAGGTCTTTGCCATCGGAGCTCCCTCATCTCAAGAGCCAGCCGTCGCTTATTGATGATTTGGCGGACTATGTGATGCCTAGTGCAGCGAGTGAGAGGCTGCCGAGTAGAGAATGGCCAAATAGTCCAATAGGTTCTATTCCATCGATCTCGGTGACGTCGACTCCAACAACTGGTCATATGTTACCTGTAGTCCCCGAAACTACACCGACGACGAATGCGATGACAGACGGTGTTTCAAGCGCGACCAAGACTACTGCAGCTCAACCATCGCCACGCCAGCTTCCTACAAGTAGCGAAGGCCTTGCGCAACCACCACAAGATGAGAAGGGGGATGCGAATGCGCCGTCGATGTATGAGGACGACTCGAGCCTGCGACGAAATAGCTTTGCTTCTGCGGAGCGTACATCGTCGCCTATGTCTCACTATGCAACATCTATACACACTTTGCGATCTCCCAGTGCTCTTGTCAACGTTACGACTTTCACCGACGACGAGCCAGTTCGTCGCCCAAGTAGCCAGCGGCCGTCACAGCGCATGTCGAAAAGGTTGTCGCAAACGTCAAGCAGCAGATCATTCAACGCAACACCGTCACCCACGATTACTACCGTCGCTGAAACTACAACAACGTCTGGTACAGAGGAGGAGGCGACTACCCTTCCGGTAACTGCACCGTCTTATCCTCCACCACCGCCGCCCCAGATCATCACCTCGGAAACTTCGCAACCCATACTGGCCAGCGCAACAGAGACGCCGGTGGAACTAAACGATGACGATGTCGTGCTCTCCGTCCTTCAGCAACGACTTCGTAGCCACAAAGTCGTCAAGACGATGGCTGAAGACTTAGTGCGACAGGCTTCCACTACAGAAGCGGCGCAACCGATAACGGATACGCAACAAGCCATACTTTCACCACCCGTATTGCACGAGCAACCAACTCCCACACCGAAACAAGAGTTGCGCGTGGAGGTACCACCCACTACCTCATCAGTTCCAGTTCAGATTGAGATACCTCCTCCCGTTCCGTCTGTTCCAGTACAGGTAGAGAGTCTCCCAGCGCCTTCCAACGAAAGTCAGAACGGAGATGCTCCGAAGAAGCCCATGTCGGCACAGGCTAAGAGAAGAGCTGCGCACGCACGGAGAATGCAACTAGCTTTTGGTGACGATACGGCGGCTTGAAGTGGTGGTGTGTGATATGGAGGTCGGCTATCTGTGTCTATAACACAATGATAATATGTGAACCAATTTCACCTCGTTCTCAAACCCCTTCTTCGCATTGGTACACGAAGTATTCTGAGGTCTGAAGGCGCATCTCGTGTCAGCGGCATGATTCCACAGTCACAACAGTTGACATAGCAAATCACACAGCAAGCATAAAAACGAGGATTAGACAGTAAGACATGGCATTGAATCACATCTACCATCCACTTTTTCCGGACCCTTCCAGCGTCCTCATCTCAACCAGTCAGACACATATACCCACAAGAAAAACTCGCCGTAGGACCTCTGACCAGCCTATCCTATCGTAACCCCAGTCATCTCATTGCAACCAAGATGCTACGGACAGGTACCAGAAGGTAGACCCATTTATGCGGCGTAGGGAGCAGCGGTAACGGTAACGGCACGAGCGGTAACGGTAACGGTTTCGATGCGATGGGTTACCTTAGGCTCGATATAGGCGGTGGTTTCCATGGTGCCGAAGGCAACGCCTGCGAAGAGGGCCATGGTGGCGCTGAGGATGGTGGTGAATTGCATTTTTGTGGTCGGGTTGGGTTGCTGAGAAGGGAGTGTTAGGTGGAGTGGTGGAGTAGTAGAGAGGGGAGGTGGTACGTTTTGTTGGTAGTGACTGGGGATGTGTTAGCTATGTTTTGTTTGAAACGATGAAGAGGATGGAAGAAGAGGAGAGATCGTACTTTGAGTTTTGTTTTGATCGAAGTCGAAGATGGTAGATTGAGGTCGAAGTGTTTGCAGATGAGAGACTCTAAAAGGGGATATGCCGTGTTTTATACTCTGACCCTGCATTTCCTCATGCTTCGAGACTGATCTCAGGTGTGTTCATGTGTGGTTTGGTATTTTGGTTGCCATCCACTCCATCCACTGGTACTACGATGGGACGCAGTGTAGCCCCTCGAAATTTCCCCAACACTCAACCATCCCATACCAAAAGTTACCCCTCAAATGAGAGAGGTCGCAGGCATCGGAGGCTCTTCAAAATGCGGCAATGTTTGGTTCCGGCCTCGGAGAAGCGGAGAGGGTGATGAGGCAGGGTCCAACCCCAGTGAAGCACCTGAAGCTGGTACTCTCCGTTCCATGGCACCGTGATGCGACTGAGGGGAAGCCGATGACGGAGATGAGATATACATTACAAAGGAACAAGAGTGCCATACGTGTGAATGGTAGGTCGTGATACTCTATCGAGCATGATCGCGTACTCGCATGGTACACATTCAAGTACTGTCTCCGACCTGATATACCAACTCAAAAATGATCGATCATAGTTTTCGCCGTTTTCAATGTTCTCCGTTACATTGCACTCTCAACAATTCTGCATGGGTAATTTGGAAGAATCATGTTCGCGCAATCGGACCCTGAGCCACACTTCACCTTCGAATTCGCCCCAAGGGTCTCTACCACTCTGCATATTTCGTTCCAATGCATTCGGTGGCAGGTGGTGTTGCTTACGTTATCGGTAAACATACGCGGCATAATGTCACTGTGCCAACAAGCCGACCGCTTCCCCACTGTACTTTGAGCAAAAGCATTGAGACACTGCAGCTGGAAGGGCTAGCTCGTGTGGTATCGTATCAACGGTGGGGAATCAACATATTGCATGGAGAGGGACAGCGCTGCTACCTCAATCGTATTGATTGTTACCTCAGACGGTGCACTGTCGCTTCAG